ATTATCGACTTCTAACAAAATAATTAATTATTATCCTTATAAGAAAATTATATTATTGAACCAAATATAAATTACTTCGTTATTGTACCTAAATTAAATTATAATAAAAAAATTGAATTAAAAATTACACCAAAAATGAGTAATTTTAAATAGTTAATTTGATACGAATATCGATATATTTTTGTTATGCATAAAGTACTGTATATTCATGCATATTACTTAAAATTCAAGATTACAAGTAATTATGCATAAGTACAACTTATTAAAGCTCGATGTTTGAATTCGTATAAATAATTGCGGATAAACATAATCAAATAGAGGATGAACATCTCATTTTAAAATATAAAAAATCTAAAATATAATTAGAATAGTTATCGAGTTCCAACAAAATAAATAATTATTATCTTTATAAAAAATTGAATTAAAAAATTACACAAAAAAATGAGAAATTTCAAATAGTTAATTTGATACTAATATCGATATATTTTTGTCAAATTTTTATATATCTTCAAACATATATTTTATTCAAAAATAAAAACATCATCGCTTTCTCAAAATCATATAAAGCCATATTATAACATTGACTGAGATAAAGAATAAAATGAAATATTAAAATCACGATGTATCTCGCTGCATTGCGTGAGTATGCTTCTAGTAATTAATTAAAAACTTAATATATTTTTTTCTTTTGAAAACTCAGTCTTACATATACCGATCCCAGTCTGGGTCCCAATCCCGTAATCGACCCTCTCTTGTTTCAAAGGACAACTTTTTAGTTCATTTCATTTGTCTTTGCCATCAATTTATCAACCAGCTTGTTTGTCACTCATCCTCGCTATGTCGACAACTTGGGTCGTTTTAGACATTTTGTTGTATTAGCATCTGAATTTCCGGTTATGTGGGATCATGGTTATAGATGGTTCAACAATTAATCACCAAGACGTAGGTTCTTACTATACAATCTATATCCTATTTGTTTAGTGAGTATGTTTAATCGTTGACCCATCATAAGCAAAAACTAACAGGTAATGACGTCAAATCCTTGCAAAATAAGTGTGAGGTACGAGATTCGACTCCAAACACCACACATTTGTCTTTGGGACGAGATTTATTTCTCATATGATGGTTGTGGGGTTGATATGATATGGACGCTCCAGATGGTAGCGTCAAACCCTTGTTTGCAGAACAATAGGAAAAAGTTAGTCACGCCAATTACCAATTATTTTCGTATTATTTGACACTGAGATTCATCCATACCATGGCCTCTAAATCATTGTCTTTTCTTAAACCCCAGGTGTTTGAGTCAGCTTGTGTGCATCTCGAATAATCTCATAAGATCCTAATCAGTCAAATTCTCCACTAATTAAACTTGAACTGATAACCTCTATGAATCAAACCCAATATCTTACGGGTTGAACTATGGTTTAAGGTTCCATTTCCTTATTCTTCCCACCATATATCAGTTACAAAAGGACAAATGTTACCATCCATCAGCCAGTATGACACAATTTACCTCCTCGACGCCCCATGATGACCATGGGACAGGTAAAAGTGGAAACACTTCACTAACTGTTAATGATACCATTGTATTTGGACACTAGTAAAGAACACCTGAGATCTTCCTTGAGAGTTGCAAGCTCGGTCTGAGTATTTCTTATTAAGCTGTCTGTATGGATTAAAACTCGTTAAGCCAAAACAAACAGCCAATCTCCTGCACTTGAAAGTAGAGATTTACACACACACACACAGATATGTATATATTGCTTGAATTTTCTACGAGTGTATACCGTCTCCTAGGCCTCTATTGTAGGACACTCGGACTCTATATTCAAGTTTCCATAGGTCTCGATGCATACAACCAAGTCCAAGAAGGATATCCGATGAAAGCTACGTCAAGAAACCCGAATGTTTATCTCCGAAGAACGGCTCATTTGTAATTGTTGATCTTGATGGCCCCGCCCCATACAACATTAGAATGAAATGCTAAACTTGTTGGATAACCAAATGCGAATGCAATCACATCCACCACATCCTTGATAGCAGCAAGCAATGCCCAATTGGATTGATGCTCCTTTACAACCAAATTTATCACCTACTTTATAAACGGCCAAATGAGCAAGTGGTGCCAACCCCGCTGTCTCGCCGACGATGTTTCCCGATTGATCAAACCCTTGGATGAAATTTTCCAGAGGCAACACTTCCCATGTCCCGAATCATGGAATGGTGAATCCAAAGCAGCAAGTAAATCCCTGGCTATAATGACTTTGTTGTCCCCCCTTGGAAAGTCGCATTTTCCTTTCCATCTTTGGGGAGGAGGGGGGACGCGTTACAACACGTTATTTTGTAAGGTGTGGGCGTTAACCCCTGCAGCTCCATTCTAAGGCTTGACTCTATTGTAACGCGTTATGACGCGTTACAACACGTTATTTTGTAAGGTGTGGGGGTGATCATTATTGGTTTTCAATTTATGACAACATTATTATCACATCATTATCACAGCAAAATCACATCATAAGAAAAGTCTTCAGTTTATCAAAACATTACCATTTGAAAAGTTTAATAGGATTCAAGAAAAAAAAATAGTAGTTTTTATTATACTAGCCGTTTATTGTTTTCATTAAATGTATTTTACTCCCATTATTCCATATATATTTTCATTTAAACTTTACTTTTTATTAATTAATCAATTTTGTTTAACATTTAAATTAAAAACATATATACTATACATATACACATGTAGGAGAAGAATCGTCAAACTAGATGAATGGTTGAGATTGGGTTGTAACGGTTAGGTTTATATGCTATTTTAACCTGTAGAAGACATAACCAAGTACAAGCCACTGTAGCATGTAATGATATATATTCATATATGAATAAAAGTTCATAACTCTTTCTACTTCTCACAATCAATTGTATTCAGTGCAAGGCCATAAACAATTTATATTATATATATATATATATATATATATATATATATATACGAGTTGCCTGTCACTGGAAATCCACATAAGTGGTCCTTCCAAAACTACTAATTACCAAACACCCCATCTCCCTATCAAAACTATTCCAAACAAAACCCATTTGACCAAAAACGCCCAAATAAACATAAGGTCCCCATGTAGAACGACACTATGGGTCCATGGGAGATCGGGGGCAAAAGTGGTAATTACAAAAATGTGGAGGAAAACCATACCTCCAGTTTATATGGCACCTAAAGAAACTGCTGGAGCCATTTACAGTTGCTGGCATCATCCTGCAACTCATTCTTTAACCTTTTCACTTCTTGCAAAGCCTGCTTTAAGTCCATTTTGTCAAGTGGCAACTCAGAGAAGTCTTTTAAAAACTGGCGAGCCCGAGGAGCACCTAACGCCATATCATCTGGTTCGGATGGTTTCTTTCGCTTACAACCCACCTGTAGAAACATCATAATCAGGATTAGGTGATGAATTTAAGGGCCTGCTCGTTAGCAGCTTAATGAGCCTCGCTGCTTATTCAGTCAACTATACATGACTGTTTGTTAGAGGCTTAATGATGTAGAAAGTGGCATATTCAATAAGATTCTAGGGGGAAGCTTAATGCAGAAAGCCAAGTTTTTTTTCAAGTCTATCCATCCCAATTAAAAAATACGCTCCTTCCATCTTATGAAAAAACCCTCCCGAACAAAAACCTTCCAAATCTATACAGAAAGATCAACACAAACAGCTTTATCCGTACAAGACTTAACAGAAAATCAATCACACAGCCTAAGTTCTTTTTGTTTTATATAAGTTCTTTTTGTTTTATATCATGTAAATATTTTTTTTGTGCTATAATGATGTGAAAGAAAAAAAAATGTGAGTGAGTTCCCATTCACCTGATGTGATGAGAATCGAGAATGAAGTAAATTATGGATATTTTCAGGTGGAGCAATGTCATGTCTTGTGCAAAGTAACACGACAGTAAAAGGTGAAACGAAAAATTATATAATCTGTCCATCCAAAATAAATGTCCACAATGCACAAAGCTCTAGAATTGTGTAATTTATTATACTTTTTACTAACTAAATGACAATTGTACCTTTGATAATAAAGAGAGTAATGGATTTCTCCATCTCATAATTAAGCATGGAATTGGAAAAGGTGGACACTTAATTTGGGACAAATAAAAGATAGAAATGTGGACTCTTATTTTAAGGCGGAGGAGTACTTAGGGGCTGCTTTGTTGGTTTTTCATTAAGTCCTGTCTGTGTGGATTAATCTGTCTATAGAGATTGGGAAGGTTTTTGTTTGGGAGGGTTTTTCATAGATGGAAGGAGCACCTTTTTTAATTGGGAGGGATAGGTCTGGAGAAGACTTGGCTTTCTGCATAAAGCTCTCCCCTAGAAGCTTACTGAATAAGCCACATTCTATATCATTAAGCCACTACAAAAAAGTCTGTATAGCTGATCGAATAAGCTGTGAGTCCCATTAAGCTCATTAAGCTGCTAACAAACAGACCCTTATAGAATAAATATAGAACCCGTACCTCTTCCTCAGGCTCATTTGATACAATTGAAAGAGGCGAGAAATCCTCCAACTCAGCAGCTTTTTCTCTAGCAAGAGAGACGACACTTTCGGGAAAGTTAGCAAACTCTGCTACATGGATGCCAAAACTTTGATCACAAGCCCCAGGTTCAACCTTGTAATCAGTATCACAAAAAATGAAAACAAAATCAGCCATAATCAGTGGGTTCCCACAGTTCTCTATAGAAATCAATCAGGATTTAAGTTTGTGCATTTTGAAAACCTTTTTTTTTCTTGTATAGCATTCTTAAAAGAATCAACTAACCTTGTAAAGCATTGTTAGCTTCTGGCTTGATGAGTCGATGTGTGCGCTGACGTGATAATTAGCTACACCGGAAGGCTTACCAGCATTTTCATGAGCTAATGCAGTCAACTCATGAAAGTGAGTAGCAAACAAAGTAGGTGCTTTAATCACTTCAACCAAGTGCTCACAAATGGCCCAAGCTAAACCTGCTCCACAAATCAGAATAAGTGATCGTAAGAATCAACGAATAAATCAGAAACTTAAATGTGTTGTACCATTAGCGTGCGTTTGTATCCAGATAGACAGGACAGGAGAGTTGTTACGCGTTTGATAAGACAGAACTGGACAAGATAGAACAGATAAAATGACCAATTTACCCCCAATTAGTTGTTTATATCTTTTATATATTTTGATTAAATTTATGTAATTTATTAAATTATAATAAAATAAATATTTTTATAACAAAATATATCATTAGAAAGTTTTCGTCAAGACGATTAAAACGAAACCAAAATAAAAAGTTATGTAGTTTCCCAATTTTTATTTTATACCTTTTCTATATTATTTTTTATTATTATATTTAATAAATTACATAAACTAACCAAAATATAGAAACTATATAAAAATAATATTTTGAGGACAGTAAAGTGAAAACTTAAAGAGCATAAAAATATAATAAATAATTTAAATAATGAATATAATGTAATGAGGGAGGCTTATTTGATGTTCTATAAGAGAATTAGATTTTATTTTGAGATTATATTGGTAAAATATAGGTCTGTTTCACCTTGTTCCATGGGGTGGGCTTGGAACACGCCTATTCCACTCTGTTCCACATAAAAAGTCCTCACAAACGTAGAACAGTGATCCCTGTTTGTTTTGTCTGGTGTACCAAACGCACACTTATTGTCCTCCAGATATTTGGTTCTCCCATGATCAAGGAGGGGATCCATACAAGCATGCAGAACATGGATCACTTAGCCAAACGACCTTCCGACAGAAAAAATCCTAGACCTTACAGGTTTTAAGAATGTGTTTGCTTAACAGAAGAATGCCTCTTCCACACACAAAAATGCCTAAAAACATGTCGGAAGGTAATGGATTTAATTTTTTATTTATCAGAAGGTCATTTAGCTAAATAACCCTGTAGAATACATAAGGCTTGTGATAGCAACAGGTCCACAGTGGCATGACAGCAATGGTGGGAGAAACATATTGCCTAGATGACGGACAACTGCAGAAGCTGCTAGGGGTAGAGACTGCAACATGACTTATGGGGATGTGGTGGAAGGATGCAGGAAATCACTGCAATCGATCAGCTGTTGGCAGCTTAGAGTTCAAGGAGGGCTAGGGATTAAAAGATCTTTTTATAGCATGTGCTCTAATATAACACACAAATTTCTGGTTTCCAATGACATCTATTATTGAGGGAGAATCCTACGTAAATAATATACTAGATGGTTTCGAGGAACGAAAATATATTAAAAAACGAAAGCCCTTTTAACTGTTAAATGTCTCTTCATTGAATGCAATATATCATCCCGTTAACTCATCCTTGTACATTGGTAAATATACACTATATGCTTATAGAAAGATCACTGAAAACAATGGCATGAAAGTTAATGTAATGGACACTAGATAAATGATTGATTGCTTCTTCAATGAAATCAACTTCTTATGATTTTGACGAGTTCTAAAATTGTAACTTTCAGTCGTCTTCAGCTTTCACTCTTTTTGTCATTGGATTCTGTTAATGTGTTAGCTATTATACAATAAATGCAATATATTAGGATATAGTTAAGGTATTTTTCGCCATAGAGTGGGCCAAAAAAAAGGATAATTGATTTGTTTGTGAACTAGCCTTAGCAAGCATGATGACTGATGAGGAACACCTCGGATCCCAAAGCAGCTGATTGTCTGTGTGTAGCAATGATTATTAAACTCCCAACAGCTGATTGTATCTATGCTATGTATGTATTAACTTCTCATTGTGATTTTGCTTTACACTTTATAATCTACATGTATAGATTTTATTTTACCAACATGAATTTCCTTTACTATCAACGAGGTTAATCCTTAACAATACATCCATTCTTCTTCATTTGCTCTGCAAATTGGGTCGCCACTTCGAAGTTTTAGGTGAGTATCTATGTATGATGTCATTGATTGTATACTTCTAGTTCTTTATCCCCCTCATTTGTTCGCTAATTTCAAAGTTATTCTTCAACTGTTTGGTTTTTTAGACTAACAAACTTATATATTAATATATATATGCACCCCATTAATTCTCCTTACGCTTGCCAAATCCAAGTGTCCAAAGATCAAATATTACACACGCACATATCGTTGCAATATAGACCTTGAGCAATCACGACACAACTAACGATGCAATTGTTAACCTAATAATCAATCTTAGTATAGAAGTTAGAACTAACCAAGATGATATCAGTTAAAATTAAAAATGTTCAGGTGTATATATCAACAGTTAACATTCACTTATACAGGTCGATGTGATCATACTGGGTACTAGTACATGACGTATCTGTTCAAATGCGTATATTGGTAAACAAGAACTGCATTCTACAGTTACAGAACCCAATCACACTAATATCCTGCTACCAACAAACATTTGCATGGTTCTTTTGTCAAAATTTTGGAGCTTTTCTGACAAAATATTTTTCTCAAAACTTTTCACAAGCCAGTGGTCTTGGAGTGGAGGTATGGTTCGCGTACATCCTACCCTCCCCATACCCGACTTGGTGGGTTCATTTGGTTTGGTTTCACCCACTCTTGCATGGTGCAGTGATGTTTATGACAAGGTTACTTTTAAATGTTAAGTAAACAAGGTCGCACAGATGACTTTATGCAAGAACTTCAGATAAAAGAATAAAAAACCATGAAGTTTGGATCGTTAAACTGACCAAATCCATCATAAGTCGATGTTCCACGGCCCAACTCATCAATAATGATCAGCGACTTATCAGTAGCACCTTTCAAAATTGATGCTGTCTCCAGCATTTCTTGCATAAAGGTAGATATTCCACGTAACTACGCATAACAAAAAAAAAGTTAGTTTTCCACGAGTGAATGATAAAATCAGTATTACAATAAATGCTATTTCAGATTCATCTATGTTAAACAAATGACAGATAAGCATCATCAACCTCTTTGATTAACAATTATTAGTTCAATCAAGCATTTCAAAAAATAACATGGGGGATTCATCAAATTTTCTCATCTGGAAGGTAATATAATTGTATCATTTGAACAATGAAAGTGGTCGTTTATAGAGGTAGCTGAACCAAAATAGCATAGTATCGACTTCTTATTCTCATATGCATAGATGATCCAATAACAATTATATGTTACTTATTTAGATGAACCACATAGGTGTCTACATACAAACTAGTGGAATCCCTACACGATCTATCGGTCTCATGGGATTTAATCGAGTCTGTTGAGACCTTATTCCTAGCACCAGCATGGAGACATCCCTGCTAATTTAGTCTTCTATGGGTTAATACAGGACTCTTTTGTAAAGCAACTTATCATGCTTCTATTCTAACCAACAAAGCTCCATCTGACGATAAAAACGGAGTGTTCCAATAGAACATGATAAATTGGCCAAAGGTACTGTGTTGTTATAAGTTGGGTCTAGATTTTTTATTCCAAAGTTTCATATTAAGACGGATTTGATTCGCTTAACCCATTAGATTATTAAGCACTAGAAAGTCGTTCAACTGTCTACCTCCACTCTAACAGTTTTTAGAGATCCCACATTTATGTAAATAAACTTACTGGACAATAGAGCTTGTTCAAAAGACAATAGCATCTATTTACAAGAGCATGCAGAAGCCTCTAATGCCTCAGCCAGTCACCCTAGAGATCTTAAAGATAGCTCTTTTCAAGTAAACAAACTCCACCTTTCAACAATATCTAGCAATATATTGCTTAAGAACTTTTTAGAGTTATGGTATGAATAGAAGACAGTAGAGTACACCATACCTGACAGTCACCAGCACCGACACGAGCAAAAATACAGTCACGGATAGAAATGCTAGCTTTATCGCAAGGAACAAAGGAACCCACTTGAGCCATAAGAATGTTCACACCAACCTGCAGAAATGATAGAAAATTCATTGCAAATTGACAAGTCAAAGAATACCTAAAGCTACATATGGAAGTCCATAACATTCTAGGCAAGGAAGCAACATTTATGCCCTTCAATATGACCAACTGTAAAAGAATAGCAGTAGCAGTTGCTACATGAGTTCACATCTCCACTAATAATTGCAAGAAGACGCGAAGCATGCATTCAACCAAACAATATAGATTGAATAGAATCAACGCATTTTATATATTTAATTTGAAGGAGCAAAAACCACTATTTGAAAATTGATAGCTTTGTACCTGACGTATAAATGTGGATTTTCCACCCATGTTAGGCCCTGTGATAATTTGAAACCAGCTCTTTCCCCTAACCTAGTAGTTTGTGAGAAAGATCATATGATGAATGCAATGTTAGTGCCACTCTTTTTCAATAACCCAAGGAATCCTACATTGAAAGATATCTTACAAGTTTGCAGTCATTTGGTATAAAATTCACCCAGTCTTGAGCTTCCACACAAGGGTGTCTACTGCCTTCTAATATAATATCTCCTGTATCCTGTCAATGGCAACCTCCGGTAACTAAGAAATATCTTTAAAAGAAGAAGAATTATGAACCACATAACAAAACAAAGAGGAACCCACAAATTTATTACCGATTTTGTGATTTCTGGTCTTGCATAAGGGGTAGGGCTGCTAGCAGCCAGATCAGCAAAACTAAGCAAGACATCGAGCTCTGAGAGCAACATAGCCAAGCCCTCGAACACCTGTATAGAAGACTCGTCTATGACCATCTGTAGGGCATTATAGAAGCAAAATGATACCGTAAAGCGTATATACCTCAGAGAAGGTAGCTGCGGTTTCAACAACTCGGGCTACCAGCTCCTTCTGACAGTTCTTATATTCCTCCAGTATCTTCTGGTATTGGTCTCCTAATTTCTTCAGCTTAGTATTTGTAAATTTTACACCATCCTTCCGAGTTTCAAGAACAATAAAAAGGGTATTGAGCTTCTGCCTTACTTTTGGTTCTTCCTTCTTTGTGATTCTAAAAACATGTCCAAATTGCGTACCCTTATCTAGCTTTAAACCCTTGTCAAGAGGCAGATCAAGATCTTTAGCAGTTTGTTCATGCAAATCGTGTATTTGTTGTTCTACTGACTCTTGCTCATTTTTCAGGGTTGACAACTGGGAGTCATATCCAGGTGAAATCATGTATTCTCCATTCTCAAGTTGATCAAGATCAACAGCAACTTCCACAAGACCAATAAACTTATTCAGGTGATCATCATTAGTCCAATAATTTAGATGATCTGTATATCTTCCCTTAACTAAAGATGCAAATTGACCATCGTACCGTTCCATTGCACTTTTAATGAATGGAAGTCTGATGCTTGACTGCACAAAAGAAAACAGTTGCAGGTATACTCGTTATTCACCCAACAAAAAGATTAAATAGCTACAATGTTACACACTAATTGGCATCTAATTATCACATTATCCCAGTACTGTACAGTCTGAACTTCAACGTCTTGTACAAAATATCCTCCTATTAAGAAAGAGACAGTTTTTGTTGCCAATATTGTATGTATAATGTGTAGAAACCTATCCCTTGTTATTCTTTATGCAAAAATCATCAGAAATTCTGCATATTCGAGGTTTCTCAACTTGTTATCTCCTGTCTAATTAATCAGTTAGCGACACTCCCAAGCATACCAAATAAAGATATTCTGAGACAGTGAGACGTGACATAAGAATATCCAAAACTCAACCCATGAACCATCAAAAGTAGCTAGGAAATGAAGAAGCGAAGATGCAAAAAAATATTCACCTGATAAAGCTTGACAATGTGGAACAAACTAGCTCTTCGCTTCTCAATACTGCGCATCAATCGTTCAATATCAGATATCCTTTTCAAGTGCTGCCTCAGGTCCTGACGGAAAGCAGGATCCTCCACAAAAGTTTGCACCAAGTCTAATCGTACATTTATCTCTGTCACATCCAACAAAGGTTGCTTTAACCACATGTGTAGTAGCCTTCTGCCCATGCCTGCAGTACAAGTTCTATTCATGAGACCAAACAGGCTAAAATTTTTGTTGGCATCCGTTTTACTCTCCATGACATTCAGTGCCCTTATAGCAGCAGAGTCTAATCTCATGTAGCTATTAAGATTGTACTGGCTGATAGTATAATTCCCATAATTATTTTCATCAGCAAGTAACTCAGCATAGGACAGTAACACGCCTAAAGCCCCAGGTGCAAATTCAAATGCTGAAGCTAGATCACGAACTGGTTCACTAGAACCTTTGACAAGCCTACCAAGATCCTGTGCCAAATCTCTTCCTTTGAACTCGGCTTTCTTTCTTTCAGTTACCATTGCACCACATCTTGAAATTGCATCGTACAGGGCTTTACACTCACTTGATTTGGTAAGTTCGGTAGGCAAAAGACATTCTTTGCAGCCGAGAGCAACTAGAGCAGATTCAGCGCTTGTAAAGTGGCTATCATCAAGAAATTCAGCCATTCCAAGCACCCTCTTAGCGAGATCAACATAACCCAAACCAACAGTGCACCCAGTTTCACGGAAGTTTGGAACTAGAGCAACAATCACCGGAGAGTCCTGCATATCATTGTTCGCAAACAGAACATCTTCGAAGCTGCCGAGATTACCAGGAGTTCCCCTTTTCATTAATCTCCAGTTTGAGCCACTGCCCTCATATAGCTCAAGACTATGATCAGTTCTCTCTAAGAGTAGATCACGGACAATTGTCTCAAACATATTTTTGCTTACACTTACACTAGACACAGCATCAGATCCACTACCGATTTGTCTTAAGGCTGTTGTTGTGTGGTAATATGTTTTTGCAATAAAAGAAGCATTCTCACCATGAGCGGTGAAATAATCCTGGTAAGATTCAACCCCCACCAAAAGATTGAAAAGAACTGTTAAAAGACGACAATTAACTGGATAAAAGAAGCAAGTTAATTTGAAAGCATAAGATATTACGAAGTAACATTTAAAGATGAGTTTTACATCATCGTATAAGTTGCAAAAATTAAACGAATCATTTGAGAAGGTTTTGGCTGGAGTGCAACAGTATGCATATTCCCTTCAACATATTTTTCTGTATCCATTTCTTTTCCAAGCAGTAATTCCTTTTCATTTCTAATCTGTACTTGTACCAGGTATCATGTATATATGATAATTTGTAAGTTTCCATTTCTTCAATAATTCATCGGATCTGTTTCTTTTTAAATCTTCATTGAAATTTCTAAAATGGGCATGGTCCAGCAGCCAAGTGGAAGTAAGCACAACATCTATAAATTGGAATTTAGTTTTATAAAAAATGGATGCCATCTGTTAACACAAAATCAATGATAAATATGATCTGATTTTTGTCCACCACTTTAAGAAACTCATTTTTACTACCACTTTCATCATTATCCACCATCCATTTATGGAGTAGAAAATAAACCTTGACAAGTTCCAGCTTATCTGAATACCTTTTCATAAGCGTTCTATCAACATGAACATTGATGTTCATATTGTTTTTTTCTTTATTCATTGTACTTGTTCATTAATTTGATAACGAGTGTGTATTTCTAATGAGCTCATGAACAAGTTGGGAACAACAATTGACCATTCCATCACCTTGCCAATAGTGACAAAGGTAGAAAAAATAAAACAGAATGGGCTAAACATAAATTTATATTTATTTAGTAAAACATAATTGTGAGTTAAGTGATGGTAATAGTTCACTTCTATACTAACAGGCTAATCATATGATGAATTATAGGGAAAAAAGTAGAGCTAATAAAGAATACGAAGTTAAGATTAAACTATGAAATATACTTGAAATTGCAATGGGGATGTTCAAAGTTTCCTATAGTTGAATAAAAATGATCCAATCACCATACTTCTATATTTATTTTCCACAACTGAGCTCAGATATTGATCGGCCATGTCAAACATACAAAAAGGAAAAAAAGAAATAAGTTTTACAATTGAAGAACATGGTGGTCTAAATATAAAATTTCCATTTTAGTGAAGAATATCCACCTTCAATTTACTTCGTCTATGCTTTCTAGAACTCCTTAATTTATATGTACAAGTTTCTTATTTCCCAAATTATTTTCCATCAGACCAATTTTGCAATATATGAAATATAAAAACTACTAGCAAGGATACTAAAGGCCTGATTTTACACATTTAGATTTTGAAAAAAAAATGAAAACTGGACTGAAAACATTGTTTGGTAAATGTTTATTTTTCAAAATATCAAAAATAAATTTACAAAATTTCATAAACCACACTTTAAGTTGTAAGCTTGATTTTAATGTTTTCATGGTTCACAGAAAAGGTTTACTAAAAAAACATATTGACTATTAGACTAATTAAATTGAGATTTCAAACCTAGTATAATGTGTTTATTTTAAATTTCCATCTTATCTTTTTGAAAATAAACAATCCTGACATACACATTTTGATTTAGTTGGCAAAAAGATATAACAAATCTACTTGCATTACAAAAAAACCATAAACAAAAAATAGAAAATCTAAGTGTTACCCAATGAGGCTTAGGAACTTAGAACTTTGGGATGGGCCAACTTTATATCTTATGAAATACGAATGATCAAACTACCAATGAGGCTAAATTAAGAGTCACTCGTCCCTTAAGAGCTTTGTCACTGTTTGCCCAATCCATTACCGTTAGTTTTCTGTACTAACCCTATTTTAATCAAATGCAACAAAATAGATCAAAATATGGTTGAACATAGAGACGGCCAAGAAAGAGAATGGAAAATGAGAACCAAGAAGGGAATGATTGCTTGTGCAACAGCCTGGATTTACACATAAACAGAACAGATAAGAATTCATGAGATACCCCAGTAGTTTTTGACAAAAGAGGTGTTGGTTTAGAACTGAGAAGCATTGTAAATTCTAAGGCCGCAACCCACTTAAAGAAATAAGACCACTTAATGGAAAAAAAAGTAGACCAAGGAAAAACCATAAGCAGGTACTGCAACATTGATTCCAGTACATAGTACTTGCTAAAGGAAACATAATATAGAACTTAATGTGTACAAAAACGAGCAACACCGGTAATGAACAAATAAAAATGAGATGTAAAAATGAAACAGTCGTCAGGGGCTTAATGTAAACCTCTTCTACTAATGACAATGGTCTATTTCTACCTTTCCCTCCAATATATCATCATATTCATCTCTCACACATTAGTTATATCTTTTTCTTCTAGGTTTACATTCACGACTTAACGATATTCTAAGTTTTTAATCATTTAGCCATGCAAAATACAATGGCATTTGATGCTTAACCTCCTATGACGAAAGTGTTGTTTAACTGGCAGGAAATTACACCCCTCCATCTTGAGCTCTAGCATGATCATCTCATAAATGCACACTTTGTCCTGCCATGGAGATGGCCTAGTAATTACCTTTTGTTATGCTAACACAATAAACATGACCAATGCAAACTGTTTCCCCATTTGTGCATAAGTAACAATTGAAATGATGACCAAATAAGTATTTAAATTTTTAGTAAGCAAATCAAGACGTGTGTGTAAACCACTTAAGTATGAGAGAGAGGGCTGACCCGTCGATCAAAAAACCGAACGGCCTTCGTGTCCTGCACAACAAAATTAGGTCTTAGACAAAATTCCTCAACTTACATCAACTGTATACAACAATTTCAAGAAATATGAGGTAATGCGAATGAAAAAGACTCACATTAGGTAATTTCTTGAAGAACGTGAGAAACCCTTGAGCTTGTTTAGCATCTACAAGAATCCAAGCACACGCAAGAGACAATAAAATTTCAATCCAGTTCTTAAGGTAGTCAACCATATCATTATATAATCCATATCATTTTCCTTGTATGCGTAGACAGAAACGGAGATAAGTTGTGTTTACCTAATTTGAGCTCAGGAAGCTTGTTGTATTCCTGTAAATCTCCATCCATGGTCGATTCTTCGTGAATAAACAAGGATAATAATACAAGTTACACAAATGAGAACCGAATTAGGGCTTTGTAAAGACGTCGATAGACGCTAGAACACGAATTTTGAGGTGAGGGTTTTGGAGAATTGGGCGGGAAAAACAAGCGGCGGCCCGGCGGGTGGTTTAGAGACGCGCGTGTTAGCCACGTTCCTTGATGCGAATGGTCCCTGTCCATATAATTTTGCGAAATTATCAAACTATACCAAAAACAAAGGGGCCGTTTATTTACCTTAACGGTAAATTTCAACTCTATTGTATATTTATTGGGTAAGATTTTAATTTATCAAAACGACATCGTATGTAATAATTTATCCTGTAAACACTAATCATAATAAGAGTCGTCACCATCACTTACCGGATAAGACTCTCGGTTCGTGTATTCGCTCTTACCAGGTAAGATTCTTGGTCATTGCCATATTAATCCAGTAAAGGAATTTGACTTAATAAACGCTTACCCAAGTAAGCATTTGGTAAAAGCCCCCTAAATTACAATGGTGGTCAGTGTGATATGTTCACATTTTAGATTTGATCCTTAAAACAAATTATCTATATTAATAGTGTTGATCCTCTCTCTCAGTGATTTGATGATAATCCCTTTTTCCTTTCGATGTATTTCTGTATCTGTAATTTCAGTTCCAACGATCATACACTGAGTTTGTTCAGTGATCGCTGAAGAACTTGTTTTGAAATTCATTCAGAGACAACGATACTTCAAGAAAACAACACTCACACCAAAGATCCTTCAGCAAACGTCGAAGACTGAAACTGAAGATTA